AGTACTCCAGTGCAGAGAAATGAAGTTGCGAGTAAAATTTTCGTTCCCATCAGCAATCAGCAGCTAACAGCAAGCAAGTTTCTGCAAGCAGTGTTTATCTTAGGAAAGGATTTGTAAGTGCTTGAAGCAATATGCATAAGTATCAATGATTTAAGATATGAACAATTGATGGCTTGTGAATCGCAAACAAAAGAAATTGTAATTACATTTGGGTATCTAAAAGGGGAGCCTAATGTACATTTTTCCAGCTAAAACGATGGGTCAGCTACTAAACATTTCCCGGAAAGTTTACTGACGAAAATATTTTTGAGGGGAGCTGCCACCTGTTTGAAAAATTTTATTTCATTCAATTGATAAAATAAATTGTAACGGGTATCAAATAACACAAAAATACTTTTAAGGCGCAGTGAAGCACACCGGGTATTTGCTAGTTTATAATATAAAAATAACTACGAAAAGCGGGAACGAAGCTGTAGATGTTTTTCAAACAAAATAATTCAACGAAAATCTACCAAAATGAGAAAAAATTTACCTTTTTAACAAACCAAATTTTTTCTAACAATTTTGGTAAAAATTTATCAAAGTGGCAACCCAGATTAATTACCTTTCTGTTGATTCAGCATTAACTAGTGTTATAAAAATGCAAGTGTGCGAAAAAAAAAACATTTTTTAACAATTTTTACAAATTTTCCATTTTTGGCGCTACTTGAATCAACGTCGCAATGGAATGTTGCTCGACCAAATATTGAATGATATTTAAATCCAAGTAATTTTTTTTTTATCACTCAAGTGTCAAATGCAATTTTCCACTCCAAATGTATTAATATACAATTTCAAATTCTTAATATGCGCATAAAATATTTATAGCACAAACCGTCACATTAAATCACCACAGAGCTAAAGTGTAGAGCAGACAGAAGGCTGCAATTTTCCGAAATCAATCACTAAACTGCAGCATTGCCCATAAACGCTTGAGTCGAAATTTAATGCAACCAAAAGCGAACCGGGATGGCCATAGCCATAGCAAGTGGCGGGGCGTAAAACGCAGAAATAAAAAAAAAACTCAAACGACTTATAAGAACAAAATGAGAAAAATAATACGCGTATACAGCAGTAGCATTAAACAGAAGCAATATTTGCTTAGAAAATTACATCGTTATTGAAAAAATAAAATAAAATAAAGTAAAAAAAAAACAAGTAAGAAAGTCTAAGTTCGGGCGGAGCCGAACATTAAATACCCGGCGCAAGTATTAAATATATGTTTTTTACCTTTCCGAAAGCTACCGCTACATGGTAAACCGGGGTGACCAATTTTGAGTAAATTAGCGTCCTTAAATTTCGAAATATTGAAGTTTCAAGCATTTCTGAAATTTACTGTTATATGAAAAGCGGCCGTAATTTGAGTTCGATTTCAATAATTTTCAACGTTTTGCTTCTATGTGGCAAGCACAATAACCACACCGAGTTTGGTACAAATCGGTAGAACGGTTACCGAGATACATATATGTGATCATAAGTGGGCGGTGTCACGCGCATTTTTCAAAATTTTATCCTAAACGTATTTCTTGGTAAAGAGTTGTTGCAAACATCAATTTTGAATAAATTAGCTTCAATAATTACTGATTTATCGAAGATTTCGTATTTCTCTAAATTATTGTTATATGGGATGTGGGCGTGGTTATTGTCCGATTTTAAAAATTTTCGCTCATATCGTGTGTTATACCAAGGTTAACAACTGTGCCAAGTTTGGAAGAAATTGGTGCAGCGGTTACCAAGATATACACATGTAACCATAAGTGGGCGTGGCTACGCCCATTTTCCAAAAAATTATAATATTATTATTTTTCGTCTAAAACTTATTGTAAATATCAATTTTGAGTGAATAATCTTCAGTAGTTTCTAAAATATCGCAGTTTTCGTATTTCTGAAAATTACCGTTATATGGGAGGTGGGCGTGGTTATTGTCCGATTTTGCCCATTTTCAATACCATCCGTCCTACGCCAGAAAGAAGTGCACGTACCAAGTTTCGTTAAGATATCTCAATTTTTACTCGAGTTATCGTGTGCACAGACGGACGGACGGACGGACGGACGGACGGACAGACAGTCACCGCTTAATCGATTTCTCTTTTCATTCTGATCATTTATGTATACATTTGTCTATATCTATCTCGATTCGTTTTGCCTGTTACAAACAACCGTTATGTGAACAAAGTTATAATACCCTTGTGCACAAGTGCGCTCGGGTATAATAATAATAATAATAAACAAGAACAGCAAAGTATGCTCCCGATTAAGATTAAGCGATGTGGTAGCAACAGACAGGTCTGTGAATAGGCAGATGATGGGCAGACCGAGAACAGGCAGACAAGAGGTGGACAGCTACACTGATGGGCTTTAAGTCAAACCAGCAAGTTGATATGAGGGCAGTGAGCTAGCTGTCGAGCTCAGAAAAAATAGCAGATTAGTGCCGAGTGACGACAGCCAGATTGACGTCGCAGAGAGCAAGGCCGAAGCTATGAGACTAGCAGCAAAGAAGCAATAGAGTTACGTGGCTGCCAGACCATACAGTCTAACTTGTAGCTTAGGCAGCTTAGATCGCCTTACTAACATTTATTGGAGCAGCGCGCGCTACTGTTTCTGCCATGTTGGTTGTGGAGCAATAACTTCAATTACAAAGTATACGCTAAGGAATTTACGGCATTACGTGCGTGGCGTGCCATAGTTACGGCTAAAAAATTGTTTACACCTATAAGTGGAAATGGAGGGAAGTCAGCGGTGGCTTATAACCAGCGCTCGTATTTTGCTTAATGTCATCTTTTATTTGAAGCTTCAGAGGCGTTTCCCAGATATATAGGAGTTCCATTCCTAGCTCCCAGATCCAAAAAACGAAAAGTACCAGAAGAAGAAGAGATAGACCCATCAAAAGAGTATACCAAAATGATTAGAACATCGAGCTGAGCCGAGTCAGCCATGCCCGTCTGTCCGTCTGTTTGAACGCAATCTCGTACCTCAGTTTTCCAGATATCCGACTGAAATTTGGTAAGCGGGTGTTTTTTGTAATATTCTCTCAGAATCGAAATGCATTAAAACGTTTATTAATTTTATGATCATTATTATATACATTTATTTACCATATCGCTAGCTTAGAGTGAAAAGTTGCCAAGTCCACTTTTGCGAAAACTCATATTTTCATACAGGAAACAAGAGGATTAAAGAACTTTTTTTTAATTTTTTTCGTCTATGTTCAATGAAAATCAAATTTGATAAGTCCAAAAGAGGCAGCGAAAACCTGATAAGACCAAAATTGTACAAAATCCTTTAATAAAAATCGCATTCTCCTTACTCGTATGAAGTTTTGCTTTACTTTAAACACGAAAAATGTTGTATTCAAAGTTTTACGAAATACTTGAAGAGAACGACAATAAAAAGATTTTTTCTTTTTCTGTAAAATTTGAAAAAAATCGACTTAGCCACTTTTCACTCTAAGCTAGCGATGTTTTTAATGATTTTCGCATATTCTCCGCGTTGGCCCGGTAGTCCCTGACGTCCGAAGAAACATTGTTGAAAAGCATTTTTTTTTACTTTTCCATAATGCTTTTGGATCAAAGCAACCCAGCGGTCGTTTATGGTAAACATTTTTTTTACTACAAAAACATTTTTATTTTAATCAATTTTCCACCACTAACTTCAAATTGAAAAAAACGCTTATCTTGGAAAATTGAGAAATTACTTTTCTATATATAAACCAGACATTCATAAAAACTTTGTTTCATTAATTCACACATACAGTGTAGTGATACATTTAGTAGTGATATAACTCAAAAGACACTTTCGACAATTTTAACCAACAATAAGACAAATGCGAACAAAAGACCTAAGCGACGAACTCGTTGACGATTATGAGCCGATAGTGAAAATCACAAAAAAAATAAGTCCAAAAAGAGGCGTTAGGCACAAACACATAATTAATTAAAGTGTGCTTCATTATTTCAAAGTACCTCCCCTCGAATGCGCAACGCAGCAGGCAAACCACATAATTTATTGGACTGCAAGTCAGTGAGACAGCCATTGCGGTGCACCGACGGCGCAGCATAAGACAAAACCATGTGCACACATTCAGCTACACATAAGTATATAATACGTATGTAGTTTATGCAATGGTAAATTAATAACTGTACTGTGAGTAAATGCAAAAGACGAAAAAGGCTGGCAACAAAGACAACTGGCGCAATGAACATGAAGCCAGCAGTGCTCAACCAGCCGTCCAGCATATCAGCCAACCAAAGCCATTCGAATTAGTGTAAAAACAATGAGCAGCAAGAAAAGATGGGGTAATGATGATTTTACCAAGCAAAGTCAAAGTTACAAAATTCACCACTTCCACATTTATCATTACTAACCGCATTAGCTGTCTGGAGAAAGGAACTTTAAAACCAAAAAATAGTACAGAATATTAGCTGTTAAATAGTGTTAACATTTATTGCAGCGATGTTTGCAGCTTTTGCTGTCTCAACAATTGCAACATGTTGCGCGAAACTTGTTTGGCATACAACATTTGGCAGCATGTCGCAAGAAATAACAGGTAATGAAATAATACATACACGTTCTCTGACGATAGGGAAGAGATTTTGCATTTATTTGTACCCTCAAACGACTTCTCATTCAATTAACAGAAAAATGTTCATCTTCGAAATCTCCTTCAAGCACTTTTGTAGTACCCCGTTTCGTATTATTCTACCAACGTTCGCTTATTTTAACAGCGTTACTCCAAGTGCAGTAAACTTTGGCGTTTACTTCACAGAAAAATACCTTCTACTGTTGCAAGTTCCAACTCGAAATCAACATCCGTGTCATGCACTTTGGCGATTCACAAATGCTGCACAGCTGAAGAACAAAAAGTTTAACTGCTGATGATGTTGCCATTAGTACAAAACGCAACCATACGAAACGACATAGAAAGCAACTAGCGGACAGATGCTGATGTTATCACATGTTATTGTCGCTAGGGTTACTCGTCAAGTCGATTATTGAGTCACACGTGGCCGGTCGAAGTGCCTACATTCGTCGCGCATTTGGTGGCTACTTTCTGGTTGCTGTCCATCTATTTGTCGGCCTGCCCGCTGTATTGGTTGCACGGTCGCCGCCGCTACTACGAAATTTCTTCAGGCACCTTGTTGATCGGAGTAGTAACCAGTTGGTTGGTTGCTCGTTTTGCGGCGCGCTCACGTGTTTATTATTTGCTTGCATTACCTTGCGCGTGCTCGCCCACATCTCTATATGCGCTGCTACGTTACATTTACGCTTTGCGATTTTCTGCGTTCACTCAACTGGAAAGAAAAAAATATAAAAAATTGAGTTTTAGAAAATACATGAGTAGCAAAAAGATTAACGTAAAATAATTATCCAAGTAAATGCAGCAGCATTGCAAAAACCAAAGACGGGAAAATAAAATGAAAAAAAAATTATGGGAGAAGATCTGAGAGCTGAGCAGTGCACGCAAGCAAAATGACCCGAAAGGATGATGACAATCAGTCCAAACACTGTTCGGCAGTCGGCTGGAGAATTTATGAAACCAAGTTTTTCTGAAAGGCTCGATAGTTGATAGAAAGAGTAATTCCTCAGTTTTCTCCGGTTGACGATTTTAACCGTTTCTTTTCCACCCCCCTATGACGGTATAAACATTTGCATTTAAAATACTTTTTAATTGTTTTAAACACTGTTCTGAGACCATCAACTTCGCTTAACATCACCAAAATGGGAAAACCGAGAAATTAATTTTCTATATACAATCTAGGCTTTTAGAAAGACTTGGTTTCATCAATTCTCCAGAAAAAAACTTAAAATAAATGTGGCAGTAACGAAAAATAAAATCATTAAAAACTTAAGTACACAAAAGAAAACAAAACAGACTGCTGTATCCCGCATAAGAATTCAAAATCAATAATAAAATGGATTTTTTGTTTTCATATTATTTTTTATTACTGCTGCTGCTTGGACAGTTTTTTTTAGTCACTGAGGTTCCCGTGTTTCGTAATGGTATCAAGGTCTAAATGAGTTGGTTATTTGCACCGACTGCCACACCAACCTAGCCTCGCTTTCGTTTTGTTTTAAATGGTTAAATAGTTATGCCTCATATTTCCGCTGCTGATAACGCACTGACATTTTTGATCTTACTTGTTTCTTTGACTCAGATCAAGAGTTAAATAACATGATCGTATTTATTTCAGTAGCATTTCCAGCACTTAACCACACTAACATTTTGTCTTACTACACCGATACAACAAAGCGCTTGTGAAAATTTGGTAGTAGCGGCGGCGCATGCGCAACCAACACAGCGGGCAAGCTGACAAATATGTAGATGGACAGCGACCGGAAAATAGCCACCAAACGCGTGACAAATGGTGGCACTTCGATCGACCACGATTGACTCAACTAACAACTTAACGAATAGGCCTAACAGCAATAATAGTAGCGGTGTTTTCTTCACGGATGTTGATTTCGAGTTCGAACTTGCAACAGCACGAGCGGTTAACACCAAAAATTACAGAAGTTGGAGGAATGTTTGGTTTGCAGTGAGACTACAAAAGTACTTGAAGGAGATTCCGAAGATGAAAATTTTACTGTTAATTGAATGCGAACGGTTGTATTGTTAAGAATGGTATCACAACAGCGGTTTGAGGGGCCATTTTGTAGGTGTTGCCTAGTTGATAGAAATATTAATTAACTTGTTGCGACTGTTTAGGCGTCGAAAGTAGCAAACATTAATGCAACCAATCTATTTAGCATCTGCGTTTAAAGTCCTCTGTTGCATGCCATGCAATGCTCTCAACGTTTCCATTGTCACATAACTAATTCTGTTAGTAGATAGTGATAACATTGGTGATGGTGTTTGTGTTTGTAATACTTCGCACTTAACAGTTTTCGTAGCACTTATTATTTCTATGGCTTTGCTTCTATGAAATATCGCTACTTTTTAAATTTTTATTGTATTTGCCGACTTTTATTTTATTCGAGCAGAGGTAATTGAAAATAATGAAACACATTAAAATGAAGGCACAAATGCAGTACTCATCAAATGTTTGCTTAGGACTTTGTTCTTCTTTGCCAATGAGTTCGTCGCTTAAGTCTTTTGTTGTCAGGAGGCAAATAAAGAAAATATTTTCTATTTATTAGCATTATTATTTGAACCTGTTGTGAAAGATAAAATTTAGATCGACTGTTTCAAATCTCTTCTGTTTCTCCGTAACGATATATAGTCAATCTCTATGATTTTGTGGCTAAGTAGAATGACGTTGAACACAACCTTCAGCTCCGTCCACATTCCACACAGCAAAATCACGGTACTGCTGGCATATGCTGATGATATTAATGTCGCCGACTTGAGGCTCATGAACGTCAGCGTAGTATTATGCTGCTTAGAAAACGAAACGAAAGCGGTGAACGAGAAAAAAAGACAAAGTGCTTCCTGGCAATACATAAAGAGTCCGCGCGTTTTGGAACACGCGAGAGTTAGCAGTTATATGTAAATTTAAAGTAGTGCTCGGTAGGCAATTGAAAAGCAGAGCCCTGTCTTGACGAACAAAAATTACGCTCTACAAATCTGTCATTCTGCACGTCCTTTTGCATGGCGCACTAAGATAAAACCTGTGAAAAAACTTCTTTTCTCACTAGCTTTACGGATTTCTCGCTTTGCTTGACGGAGGTCTACGATGGCGCACAGTGGTCGGAGAAACCATGTTCTACGCGAAAAAGGTATATTTTAAAACTGTTATAAATTAACCGGAATAAAGCTATTTTTATTCAGAAATGTGTAACGAACTCAAAACTGATTAGTACTTTCAATAATATCTGCTGAGAAAGCCGTTGAATCCGTTTAATTGAGCGGATTCTATCGTGGCAATTTTTTATGGAAACTTTCAATTAAAGCATTAATTGCTAGTTTGGTGTTACATACTTCTTAAACATGGAAAGTAATTATTTCATATGAAATATTACATAATAAATCTGAGTTGCTAAATTATCACCTTAATAACGGCTTATTTTTCAAGAAATAATTTCTTCAAGAAGGTACAACTAAATTGTAGGGCCAAGTAGGATATTCATTCCTTTACCAGAAACTTAAGGATCTACGAAAAGAAAAGCCGCGCATACTCGCGCCATTTTTATTTCACTAGATCAACCTTAGCACTTTTTCCAAATAATATAAAGTGTATTAAAATATTAAAAATTTATGTAATTTATTCTATATTTAGCATCATATAATTTATAAGATGTGTCTTAACAAAGCTGAAGCAAATTTTCAAAAATCCAATAACGAGTCCAATATGTCGTCCAAGAAATAAACAAATTACTGAATTTTCATGAAATTTGGTATTTAGAGGTTCTTAAGTTCGCTCATTACAAATTTCAAACTAGTTTTTGAAAATTCAAAATGCAAAATCCAATATGGCGTCCGAAATTTCCAAAAATTCAAACCTGAAGAACACTATTCAAAAATGAGAAAACTGAAGTTTTAGAAATTACGAATTTCGTATAAAATAAAAGAATCTTAAAAGAACTGTTGGGGCCTAGATCAAATTCATTAGGCTGAACATATAGCAGACGGCCCCAACTAACCCTAATTTATAAATATAATCACTGTCATTATTTCATAATTTGATCATAAATTCATTTTAGATATGTATTTCATAAATGCTAAACAAACATTTTGTGTTACTCTACTGAAAATGACAGTTGATTTGACAGTTGTCAACCGAAAAAGTTTGAATGTGATACATAACTCGAGATCAGTGAGCCTTTAAAACATAGTACGTTTAATTCTTGGGAAATTTTCTTTATTTCTTGAGAAATTGATAGCGCCTTCGACAGTCATAAACTGTTAAGGTTTCAATTTGACACGCAATTTTTGATTAGCATGTCTAAAAACCTATTCAGTGGCATTTTGAAAAAGATTGTCTTACTTTCTTAATTTTAGAGAAATTGGCAGTTGATTTGACAGCTCTCAACCGTCAAGCTATAAACTTTATGGCATTTTCGGAATTGGCAATAAAACAATACTACGATACCGCAGTTTTATTATAATCGTAACAGCCCTTCTAATTTTTCGCATAAAACATGGCTTCTCTGACCACTGTGCGGCATATGGATCAGATAGCCGGTTTATTAAGCTTTATGTTCCCTTTTTAAAACCTCCCTTTTTTGGGTAGTGCACTTCAAGATAGACTTCGGAAAAATTCGTCACTGAGGAATCAAATTTCCATATTCCTCCTCACTATAACTCAATTCAATATGAATCAATTTTGGTTTCCTCTTTTATTAGTTGAAAAAAGAAAAAGCGCTTCTTCAACTTAATTTATTTTTAACCGACTTCCAAAAAAGGAGGAGGTTATCAGTTCGTCGGAATATTTTTTTTTTTTTTTTTTTTTATGTATGTTACCGCATAACTTTGGACCACGTCAACCGATTTCGATAATTCTTTTTGCATCGGAAAGGTAGTGTCTCAGAGGTGGTCCCATACTAATCTGATATATATATATATTTGTTTTTATATGAGATATATGAGTTGAAGTCGGTTTTTTTTTTGCTAAAAATTACTTGTTTATGTAAATAACTCAGCAGATCTACCTAAAGCACATTTTATTGTGAATGAACTTGTACAACAGCTCCAACGGATGGTAAATGAATATTAAATACGTTCTTCCGATTCCACAGGAATCGGTAGATCAGGCATTCAATTGGATCATCGGAGATATACATACATATATATCGTATCGTGGTTTTGCAAAACCGCGTAACTGACGTTTGTGCCAAAAAATTTGATTTGCTCATAGGATGCTCCAGGCATAAAGCCTTATCTATTCATACCAAGATATCGATATTAGAGTATGTACTGAAAAATAACAGTTTAGTTGCAATACCGCTGATCAAGAGTTAATCCCTCCTGTAAAACCTTGGTGGCCTTACATACGCGGCTTTGCACTATCGTGATACGCGGTTTTGTACTTTAAACGACGATATGTAAGTATGCACTAGATATGGGCTTAATACAATAATAGGGTGCAATTTTAACCCAAAGTCCCCATAATTATTATTTTTTTTTGATTTCTCCCAAGCTTTTGATTTTTTTCTTCGATAGGGTCTCGGCAGATACAATTTTTTTTCCTTCGAACCCTAGTTAACAATAATAGAAGTAATGTTCTTACATATTGTTGTATATTTAAGTAAACAAAGTCATTTTCAGCTTCGATGTGATAAACTGCCAACAACGAAATGCCCTCCCAATAAGTGCGGTTTCTTTATAGTTTGCCTAAAGGGTTTGAGGGAAAGGCCAACTTCATTAATATCACTACTTTTTTTTAATAAACCATTAAATGTAACAAAAAAAAAAATCAGTGCGTGTAGTCCCTACGCGCGGAAGAAGTGAAACTTAATAGAGGAAATTCTTCATCTTCATCTTCATCTTCATCTTCATCTTCATCTTCATCTTCATCTTCATCTTCATCTTCATCTTATCTTTATATTTGTTTTTGATTATATTCTTGTCTTTGCATTAGTCTTTTCCCGCCCAATTGGCGTTTAACGCAGCTATTCGTTTTCTATACCCGTCATATGCTACCTGTACTGTGGCGTTAAATATTTATCGCAAACATAACGGAGCTATAATAATAAGATTTGCTTCAATAATTTGAGTTTAACTTTTTAAACAGTTGGCCACCCTCTTCAGGCACCTCAAAAATATTTTAATTGTGTTTCTGTAAGCTCTTTCTGTACTGTATAGAATTTTAAGCGTAAGACTTTTGTATAATTTAACTAAATTTTACTTTTGAAACAGGTGGCAACCCTCCTACATTCACCTAGAAAATACAACTTATTCAAAACCATTTCTTTTGATACCCATATTGGGATAATTCGTTTAACTTAATAAATAATTTGAATTTGATTTTCGTATATATGGCAACCCTTTAAAAGACTAAAACCATACTGCACATCTGCAGGCAAGCCCTTTCATGTGACACCTCATTTTTGAAAATCGTACGAACGATACAGATTTTATGACTTGATGTTAAATATTTTACGCAACCCTCTGCGGCAGAGAAATTTTGAAATCGATTTTCTAACATGTGGCAACTCCTTTCATGGAACTAAGGCTATGGTGTACACCCGAAGGAGAAGGCCTTTCATGTGACACCCCATTTTTAAAAATCGAACGAACGATACAGAGTTTATGGCTTGGTGTTAAATATTTAACGCAACCATCTCCGAACTCGATAAAGAAGTTTTACTTCAAAAACTACCTTGAAGCCCATTAAATTGTAGTACCTTTGGGAATTATTTTTTGTGGACGGTGGCAGTCACTTTCTTCCATACAAAGAGTGTTCGAAATTTTTTTATATGGGAAAAAATTAACTAAGCCTTCAAAAAAATTGTCCTAGCTACTTCAAAGTTGTACTTGTTATACTAAAATTAAATGAGCTAGGAGATTCTTTTTTTTGTTACATTAAATTGTTTATTAAAAAAATGCAGAAATTTTTTTTTTTTATTCAAAATTCGAATTTTTTTAATTAGTTAGTAATTAATTAGTTTTTTATGACACACAATGATATTTTCATATGGAACCGAAAAAAGCGCTCATTTTATTTTTATTGTCACAGTCTAATGTACATAGTGAGCATGTTCTTCAAAAGTGTATTAATGATGATTTCCGTTTCTTAAAAAAAATGTTGCCCCTCCAAGGAGCAAAATGAGTTTGATGTTACACTAAATCCTCTAAAACGGCATGTTTTTGCCTTCTTTTCCAGTTCTGGAATTCACTTCCGAGTGAACTTCAACCCCTGCTAATTTGAATTCAAAGCGGACTTGACTCAAATTCACTCGGAAGTGAATTGCAGAACCTGCCGGAATATTGTCGTTTTAAGCAACCATCTCATTTTCAGGGCAACCATCTCCCCTGACAAAGCTTCAAAGAGCAGAGGATGTGCCTTTTTGCCTTACAAGAGTGTGACATTTTAAGAAAAGAATACAAAATTTTCACAGTTTGCCTTTATTTTAGATTTGAACACGAAAGGAGAAAGGGGCAATCAAAAGGCGACATTTTTTAGTAGAAACGAAAACACCATTAGTCAAAACGAGTAATTTGTCAGAGCAGACATAAAACGTTTTTAAGCACAAGTTAAGGAGTGTACGAAGAATGCACACATTAATGTGGTTTTTTTGCAACGAATAACAAAAATATTGAGAGCTTTTAAATTAATATGCTTTTGAAGAACATGCAAGAAAGCACACAAACTTGTCTGTTTATTCAAGAATGCAGTTGCTCTAAAACCAGTTCCATTAATGCTTATCTCTTCTAAAAAAGTTATTCACCACACTAATTATAAGAGATTCAAAGGTGTTCTCTTAAACTCTCACTGCACAGAACTCATAACAAGTTTCCCGGCAGTGTTGCCGTTTTTGCCTTTCCTGGCTCGATTTAGCTACCACATACTTTTTTTGGCCACATAAATTTAAAATTGTCCCTAGCCCTTTTTTTAGCCCTTTGGAGAATTTATTTATACTTGGCATGAAAACGTTGTATATGCTTAATTTGATCTAATTTTTTTCATTTATGTAAGAGATGAATTTTTAAACTAAGAAAGACTGATATATATACATATATGTATTGTATGTTCCTTACGTTTTTAACCGACTTCCAAAAAAGGAGGAGGTTATCAGTTCGTCGGAATATTTTTTTTTTTATTTTTTTATTTTTTTTTTTTTTATGTATGTTACCGCATAACTTTGGACCACGTCAACCGATTTCGATAATTCTTTTTGCATCGGAAAGGTAGTGTCTCAGAGGTGGTCCCATACTAATCAGGTCTGGTTAAGATCCGATCAGTGGATCATGAGATATATATATATATATTTTTTTTATATGAGAGTTGAAGTCGGTTTTTTTTTTGCTAAAAATTACTTGTTATACATACATATTGCAAAAGTGTTAGGGCTGTTAACTTATCTATTAAGGATTTAACTATAGTTTGAAAGAGATAAGTTTACGGCCCTTAATATGCCTAATTTGTTACATGGCCCATCAAGTCGATTGACCGTGTATGTTCTTGTGGTGTGATTGTACCAGCTGCTGGTGCGACTTCAAAAACTATTTGAAAATTTTATGATTGTACCAGCATGGTGGTGTCGTGAGTAAGAAGTATTTTGGCGGAAATTTCTTGCACTATACGAGTCAAAGCCGTATTTGTGGAAGATCAAGTTCACGATATTGCAGCTGTAAATTAAAAAAAAAACACAATGTTTAACAAAATGGTAGAAAAATTATGAAATTTCAGCTCTAATCATTTCGATCTTTCCTCGACTCTTTTGTAAAGAAATAAATATTGTACCAGCATGCTGGTAAGTTATATGCTTCGAGCCTGATGGTACAATCACTTGATGGAGCCAGTAAGCTGGTGTCGTATATTTGCCCTTTTATACAAAAAGTTTGTTGCTTTTCAATACCATTACTTATTGAAAATGTTTGCGTGTATACTTATGTATGTATATGTAAGTAAAAAATTTTAGCTACCATTTTTTAGCCCTTTTTTTAAAGGAATTTGGCTACCACTAAAAATGATTCGCGGCAACACTGTTCCCCGGTAGCAGTAGTAGAACGCATGATACAAAAATAGGACTATGTTTTTATCATGGTAGAGCGCATGATACAAAAAAGAAGGTAGTTTCATTGTCACTTTTCGGGCGCCATATTAACTACCTGACAATTAAGCAGATTGTGACATTTCTTGCTGCCATTACTAAATAATCATTTATTTATTGTGAAAAAATATATTTACAAAATTAAAAGGGAATTTGTCTTCAACTGAGCAATAACAAAAATGGAAATTTATACATCGCCATATTTGAAACACAACCAACCAACTTTTTCTTTGAAACAAAAGACCGCTAAATATGTTGTCCACCGCAAAAATTAGTTATCAAATCCGTTTATTCTAAAGCCAATCACCGAAAAGGATTTGGATGTGCTTTGCAAACGTTAGCCCCAGTAAGGCTTTAATTTCGGGGGAAATCTTTAGCTATTTGTACAACGATTTAGTGGTGGGGGGCGGAGTGGGAGGGGGGCGTGGCTCCCCAAACCCTTCCCCCATAAACGAAGGAGGATGAACGCCGCTTTATGAAAAGTCACCCTTCACGCCCCTACCGCCCCAGTGATGTAACCTTGGGAAAGGATGAGACAAAGTGACGGTAAGTGCAGCAGTGCATTACTTATGTATTACTAATTCTATTAATTTTTCTTACAGTGTTATTAATCAAAAGTAAATATCCTTGGAGTCCCAACATTTGTATGTCCAATACCACAGTAAAAGGATATTTTATGACCATAACTAAATTTTTTTTTACCATATCAGAAAGTCGCTTTATTCGACTATATCACAACATGTTCTCCTTCGCTTTCTGCACCTTGAGACGTTTATTTAGGTGGCGTCAACGAAGAAAAAATGTGGAGCTTGAAACCAAATCGCTTTACATTTGCCGGAAAATCCACATGTTATGATTCAGCAAGCGCTCCTTCATGTTCTTGCAGCGTACGTTTCCGATAAATTCAAAGTAATGAACACCGTTTATATACGCTGCACGCTCCTGAGGAAACCGAGTGAAGTTTTCTCAATCAAGTAAACGAGATGCGTTGCTGTTGTCCCCATATTTGTACAGATGCTGCTTCTTCCACAATGTCAACATCGCAGTCTTTGTTTGGAGCACTTAACGCTTCGGAAGCTTCGATGGGTATTCTATCGGTCTTATTGGCTCCGCTTGAGTATCATCTTGCTTCATGGCACCCCACTGGTATTTTTCACCTGCTGTCATCAAAACGAAGTGCCACCTCAGTTCTTTTGTGATTTCATATCTAAGTATATGTACACGAATTCGTTTGCTTTTTTATATGAATATATTAACTATGTGATTAATTCCCTACTTACGCGCTTTCACTTGGACCTTGTTCAACTCAAATCTCAACAAAACAAGTTGCAATTTAACAAAATGTATTTTTGTAAATAAACTGCAGAGTCAAGCCGCTGTCAACGTAGTAGGAATAGAGCTGTAGCAAACCGTATGTATTCGTTACTGAGTAACGGGTACAACCCGTGACCGAAGTACCGAATCGTTACTCACATAATAATCTCGTTACTCGTATGTTCCGTACAAGGCGAATTTATACAAGCTGTGTTGTCCAATCAGCTGATTTCTTCTTTCCTTCGCCTTACGTGTATTTTGTTTTTGCTTTTACTGATTTGACAGCATGCCCCTGAATAGCAACAACAAAATACATGTAAACTTTGAGGCGAATTGAGATTTGACATTTTGCCCCTGATACAAAATACATGTGGTTGTTGTTTGTTGTATTCTTGCTACCACCTTGTATAAATTCGCCTTATATGCACTACTAATGAATCCGTACAACACAGCATATTGTGCGGTAACGAAACTCTTGTTCGTATCGATATTAAAGCTTGATATACAGTTCCATGCGAGCGGGAGCGTGAGCTTTCGCAAATGCAAAGAATTCCATTTGTATTCTTATGGACGCTCACACACATCTGTCAAAAATTGTCGTTCACATGCGAATGCTTTGCGTACGCACACAGTTGAGCGTGAGCTTGAAAAAAAGGCATATTATGCATTTTAAATTAGTTTTTATTCTATAATTCTGAAAGATATTTTAATTCTCTATCTTTTGGTGTATCAACTATTGCAAAAAGATAAGTAATAACGAAGATATTGGTCAAAATAAAAAGCTCACGCTCACGTTCGCATCACGCTTAAAATGTGTTGCGTGAATATTAGCCTGTTCCCGTACTTCACGATTTGCAGGATTTGCAGGTTTTACAGGAACAGCTGTTTTCGTCTTTAAACCTAAACCTTATGTGAACGTGGCGTACAGGAACGACTTTGGACTAAATCCTGCAAAACCTGCAAATCGTAGACGTTCTGGAACGCACTATATGTACGCACATGCATGCATATCGCCGCCTGGGTAAAATATTGTCGTAAGCGCCATTTTGACGATTTTTAGTTCTAGATGCAGTTATATATTTCGAAATAAGGTCTTTCGATTGGTGTTATCAGTTTTTAGATATCTCCTTTAGTTTTCGAGATATTGACCACAATTTTTTCAATAATTTAGTAAAAATTTAGTTAGTGATGCAGTCATATTAAACTAATCAATATCTTAAAAATGGTTTCCGAAATATTGAGTAAAAAGTGTCGTTAATTTAGCAGAAATTTTGATCACATTTTGTCGTATTTCATACAAAGTGGCTGCCAAATTGCGGACAAATGGCGCTTACGACAAAATTTTACTAAAGAAAATCCTTCATAAACTCAAAACTAATTAACAATAAACATTAAAAATTAAATAATTTAAGAGTTTTGTGAACTAGTAATATTTTCAGAGACTTTGGAGAAAATCTATTTTCGCGTTTTTGAGAAATTGTATTCCAAACTTCAATCGCGATTTCCCACAACCTACCGAAATTAACATACGACAATCTTTTACCTAGGCGACGATATGCACGAATAAAAATTTCCTTAGGGCCCTGTCACACGATCAGAAATTATCACGATATTTGGATTGCGATCCATATTGATGGATTGATGGATCGCGCACGAATGCTACATGTTCAATATTTATCGCGTCAGTATTTGCATAGTTTTTGTGCCGAACGCTTATAATGACGCAAGAAAATATTTTTATTTTGCACGTATAATTTACAGATAATGCATTCCACAATTATTTTAAAATTTCCAATGTTAGTTCAAATTTTTTCAATTTGTTTTGAATATTTATTGACGGTATTGCGATCTGCGATCCAGATTTTTAAATTTCTAGAAACTGCGATATGGATCACGATCCGTCAATACATATCGCGATACTTGGATCACGTCAATAAGAACTGACCGTGTGACAGGGCCCTTACGTTGCAAGATTCATTGCGATGATTCGTGGGAGGTCCAAGTGCTTGTATCCAAAGTAACGAGATGAAAGATACGGGCGTTGATCATGAACCAATTAGAAAAGATCTGACCGGTTGAGAAGCAGCCATTTGCACCACATCTCTTTCTTTAAGTGTGTATTGGCGGTTGTTGTTGTTGTAGCAGCAGTGCTCAACTCCCCAGGTTCTGTCATATATCGTCGTCTTCATCCTCCGACTCTGTAAGTCTGAGGCTGAGAAAGCGGGCAGCGTCGATAGGCGCGGTCCAGAGCACTTCTGGTGTCAGGGTCGTAGGGTTGGAGGTGCATGTGAAGAGGTGCTGGGTGTCATGGGGACCTTGCCAACATGCGGGGCAGATGTTTGCCACTTGTGAATTTAGCCGGGAGAGGTCGGTGACACTACCCCGAATGGAGTTGTGCTAGGATGCACCTGGTCTCTTTCGGCAGTTCAGATTCCTCTAAATTTATGGGCGGTGTTCGACCACCTAAGACGCTGTTGTCATTGCGCGTGCTGAGGCTCGTTCTGACCGCATCGCTGTGTAGGGTGTTTAGCGCCGCTCTGCATCTTGCTGCGTCAAATGGATGGTCTACATAAGGCTAAATGTCTGCTTTCTAGTCGTGCAGGTGTCGTCTCACGTATCGTGGGGCTGTTCGTTTCGAAGCAAGGCGTTGTTGGGGTGGTTCTCTCGGTGACAACCCACGGAGTATTGCTTCGACAGCATGGTGTTGTGTTCGTTTACCGCCAGCATCTGGCTTTCTTCATGGAGGTGATGCTCGGACGACGTGAAATGACAGCCTGTAGCCGTACGTAGAGCTGCGTTCTGGCGGGTTTAGAGATTCCTCTCTCGTCCCCGCCGTTCACACTGGTACCGCGTAGTTTGCCACTGACCGGCCAATTGCCTTGTAAGTCGCGAGCAGAATTTCTTTGTCAGTTCCCCAGGTGCTGCCGGCTAGCGATCTGGGGACTTTTTTTCTTGGCCCGGGGTTTTTTTACATGTGGCTGTGGCATGCGCGGAGAAGGAGAAAAGGCTATCGAACGTCACTCCTAGGATTTTAGGGTGATTAGTCGTCGGTATTTTGGCGCCATCGACGAAGACGTCCGGTTCTAACCCTACCTCCTTGGTCCAGGTTGTAAATAGTGTGCTGGTGGATTTTACGGCTGAGATTTGGAGGATCCTTGCAGTGAAGAAGTTGGAAAGATCGGTGAGATAGTCGGTTATTTGATCGCAAAGTCTGTCGATGTTTGGGCCAGTTTCCATTATTACTACGTTTATGCGTAGGCTAATTCACGAATTCATTTCATGAATTTGGGTTAAAATTGGCTGCATAAACACCATTTCATGAATTCAGTTATACACGAAAGTTAACCATGAATTCGGCATCATTTCATGAAATCGTGAAGTGCAAGTCCGGCAACGCAACGTTTCACAAACAGCTGTTTACTAGGGTTAGGATAGTTTTAGATTAAAAAGCATGAGTGGCATAACCAGGATTTAAAACACTGGAAAAGTTATGTGGAATCGTTGAAATATAAAATAAATTCAAATAGAATAAACTGAAAGTATATCATAACCAATTTAAATATAATATGGTTCATTGCCTGGTACCATCGACTTTTGCAAATTCAAAAGGAGGCCAAAACAAGTAAGAACATTAAATACCCGGCGCAAGTATTAAATATATGTTTTCCACCTTTCTGAAAGCTACCGCTACATGATAAGCCGGGGTGTATGCATTTTAAGTAAATTAGCGTCTTTAAATTTCGAAATATTGAAATTTCAAGCATATCTGAAATTTACCGTTATATGAAAAGCGGCCTCAATTTTAGTCCGATTTCAACAATTTTCAACGGTTTGCTTTTATGTGGCAAGCATAATAACCATACCGAGCTTGGTACAAATTGCTAGAACGGTTAGCGAGATACATATATGTGATCACAAGTGGGCGGTGCTACGCCCATTTTCCAAAATTTTGTCATAAACGTATTTCTTGGTAAAGAATTGTTGCAATCATCAATTTTGAATAAATTAGCTTTAATATTTACTGATTTATCGAAGATTTTGTATTTCTCGAAATTACCGTTATATGGGATGTGGGCGTGGTTATTGTCCGATTTTAGAAATTTTCGGCCAGTTGGTATGTTGTACCAGGACCAACAACTGTGCCAAGTTTGGAAGAAATTGGTGCAGCGGTTACCAAGATATACCCATGTAACCATAAGTGGGCGTGGCTACGCCCATTTGCCAAAATTTTGTAATATTCTTATTTTTCGTCTAAAACTCATTGCAAATATCAATTTTGAATGAATTATCTTCAGTAGTTACTAAAATATCGCAGTTTTCTTTTTTCTGAAAATTACCGTTATATGGGAGGTAGGCGTGGTTATTGTCCGATTTTTAAAATTTTCAGCCATTTAGTATGCTGTACTAAGGCTAACAACTGTGCCAAGTTTGGAAGAAATTGATGCAGCGGTTACCAAGATATACACATGTAACCATAAGTGGGCGTGGCTACGCCCGTTTTCCAAAAATTTATAATATTCATGTTTTCCGTCTGAAACTCATTGTAAGTATCAATTTTGAGAGAATTATCTTCAGTAGTTACTAAAATATCGCAGTTTTCGTATTTCTTAAAATTACCGTTATATGGGAGGTAGGCGTGGTTATTATCCGATTTCGCCCATTTTCAATACCATCCGTCCCACGCCCAAAAGAAGTTCACGTACCAAGTTTCGTTAAGATATATCAATTTTTACTCGAGTTATCGTGTGCACAGACGGACGGACGGACGGACAGACAGTCACCGCTTAATCGATTTCTCTTTTCATTCTGATCATTTATGTATACATTTGTCTATATCTATCTCGATTCGTTTTGCCTGTTACAAACAACCGTTATGTGAACAAAGTTATAATACCCTTGTGCACAAGTGCGCTCGGGTATAAAAATAACAACCCTACTGTTTAGTTTCTCGCAATTGCATTGCCACTTTAATTCATGTATTCGCGAACTATGCATAAACGGGACCATTTTTGAATTTATGAAATGAAGAATTCATGAATTCTGTCGCATAAACTAGTATATAGTGCA